TAATAATAAATAAAGATATAATTTTTATACTGTGACAGGCGGGCTTGCTGGAGCTGTGTGACATGGAGCGGCGTTTCTTAATGTTAAATATTTAGCGGAAAACACAGACACGTTTCACTGCGGCGGAGGTTATTTCTGCTAACAAATCTCAAATCATTCAAGTTGAAGCTTAAGGCGTTGTAAGGTGCGAGGGGGGGACGGGCGCCGGGGGGTTGTCTGCTTTTATAAGCGTTTTTTTACTCGGCTCTTTGCAATTTAATTGACTCGTTGCCTTTGGGGAAAAAAAAAATTAAAAAAATTCCTCAGACCGCTATAACCTCAGTGGCGGCGGTCAGTACTAGAGCATCAATTCTGTACAAAAAATTAGAACTGTGTGTTTATTGCATGAGACGGTGCTCCGTTCTAAATCCGTACTGATGTGTATGTGTGCAGAATGGCTGCTGCCTCGGTGCCTCTTGCTATGCAAGCTTAAAACCTGGCTGTTCGTGGATGAAATCCAATTTCCATTCTAAGCTCCCTGGGAGATTCGGCCCTAGTTTTAGTAATCACTTGCCATTAATACTGCCCCAAACAATTTTTGGTACTTAAAATACAGATTTCATGTATAATATATAATACAGCACATCACCTCTACTTACAAGTTACAAGCCGGGTACGTAATGCATTATAGGATATTAAAACATGGACACTTTAACATCTAAATAGGCTCCTGCCCAAAAGCATTCACAGATTAAGAACTCGATCCGGCACTGTACATAGGAAACTTGCAATAACTTCTTTGGGAAGTGTGTCCCAGGAATGCGATATCTAGCCTCCTCACAGGCAGATGAAATAGATGCGGCAGATTCGGTAACAATTTGATAGCTTATATGGTCAGAAAAATGACTGTATAAATATGGAACTTTCTTACTCATCATATACCCTTTGTATCTAAGATACTCTGACTCATAATTGCTTAGTTTACTGACTGAAATAAAATTTTCGGCTTCTGCTACCTTGGCAGTTGCTGACACAATTATGGTACAGCAAGCTGGTGACTGGTTCTAGCTCTTCCATTTGCTTTACTAAGTTCCAGTTGAAGAATTTTAATTAGTATTTGAGCCAGAAAGAGCACGGCATGACTTGAAAATCTCAGGTCCAGTTTGGAGGGTCATCAGACCTAAGAGACCTCTTTTTATTTGTAAACTAAGAAAATGACTTATAGAAAATTTTAAAGACAAAAATAAAAACCCCACAATGTTTGAATGAAGCCATCTTGAGTCAATTTCCGCAGTGGAACTGGATAAATTATAACACTGCTCCCTTTATCTCACTGAGTATGTCCCATTCATCTGTAGTAACATTGAATCAAACAATTCTCTTGTTTCAAGACCACATCTGTTTTACTGTGCCCCCT